GCTTCAGTTCTACTTAAACATATCAAATATGATCATTGTACAGTTTAGCTGGTTTAGTATTTGTGTACTACCGTAGTTCTTTGTGTAAGTATGAGCTTCAGGAATAAAATTATAAATCCTTTAGCACTGGGATGTACATGGGTTTCGAACTTGTTTTTAATACTACATTTCTTACACATCATTGTCAGCATAACAATCCTCCTAAAACAACTTTAAAACATTGATAAACATTTGGGATTTAAAATATAACAAATAGTATTTAAAAGCAAACTAACCTATAGGATACATAACATAGGTCAATTGATATTAATGGCTCTTTGGAGTTGGAAAAGGGAAGCATTTCTGGAATGATCTTCACTGCCTTCCTTCCTCTCCCTTCAGAAAATTGTCTTAAATATGTATATAGTGACTTAGTAGTATACTTTCCTTGCATTTAAGGAGAAAAATATTAAAGATTATGCTCATAAATATTTAGCTTTTAGAGACAGTTGGATGAAATTAAATAATTTGGATTTTGGACCTGTCTAGAATTATACCTTTTTTATTAAAGTATTTGTTAAAATGAAAATACCTCTACATTACTGATTTTGCTCTTTTGTGTCCTGTTTTCTTTCTTTCTCCCTGTTTTCTTTCTTTCTCCCTGAAGCAATTTACTCTGCAGGAGTCAGTCTTCTAATTAAGTTTTTGCCTGTCTGCTCTCTTTCCTTATGCCTCTCCTTCCTTCTCAAATGCTCTTACATATGATAGTCAGGCTGTTCTATTTATATTCAAATATTTAAATGCTGTCTCCCTATTGTAATTTAATTGAATCTTTCCTCTTCTCCTTCCCTTTTAACATTCTTCTTTCTATGTATTGAATATATTATAAACCACAGATGATAAACTGTTGGAATATATTTTGGTATATAATTTATATATAGTGTCTAGCAGTTTTAGCACTTTTATAATACTTGTCATAAATAAGTACCAGACATATTTATCTTTTTCTATGCACTTGCATATATAAGAATTCCTTAAATGTTGGAATTTGCTTTTAAAGTGAATTCAAATAAATTGGGTTTTAATATTTGTAACCTTTTAACAATTTTAACAAGCTGTAAGAGAGGAGTTTAAAATTAGCCATCTTATGTTATACAACCAAATAATGTTTGTCTGCTGGAGATAAGAGCTTATCACTAAGTCCAGTAACAACTTAGACTTCAAAGCATCTCATAGCTCTTTATGAGTCTTGAGAATTCTGTCAATATTTGGAGATGAAGAGGTGAGAGAAGTAGTAGCCCAATTAACTGTGTGAAATTTTTTAAGTAAGTGATAGCTAAGACTGTTTTTAAAGCCATTCATTGTTCAGAAAATGAAGAAGTACTGTAATGTGTATTTGCTTTCTGGTTTCTAGTAATGCTCACACTTAATTACATTTTCTTAAGCAGTCTACAACAGATCTGACTACTCTGACACTTCTTACATGTATTTCTTGATTGTTTTATTTCCATTGGCAAAATTAACTGGGCATTTATTTACATCATTTGACATTCATGAAAATGGATTGGTAAAAATTTGTGAATTTTTTTCTATACAGCGAGGGTTCAGGCCAGTTTTGTTCTATACAGCAAGTGTTCATGGGGTTCCATGAATATCTTTTGGACGATCGTATGTCCATGATGCCTACAAATGCTGTATTGTTGATGGGAAGAAGATAGAAATTATTATCATTTTTCCTTTGATGCTGTTCTATCTCTTCAGAAATGTATCAATAAGGACACTACTGCGCTTTATTATGAAACTGTCATAATCCATCTTTAGCATTGCACTTGTGCAATGATTTGTGTCCATATTAGTTTGATTTAGTCAGAAAAGTTCTGTTTCCCTTAAGAACTGCATTTACATTTTGCTAAGATCTAGTTAAATGTGGAGTGGAGTAGATCTTCATTGAGGTCTACAGACAATTCCAGTTTCTTTGAGCAACATCAGCATGGAATGTAAAAATATTTGGGCCTCACTGACAAAATGGTATCAAAAGATATTTCAATTTCTGTTACAAAATTGAGTGTATAAGTATAAGTCCAATGTATAAGTGAGTTGTCCACACTTACCGACCATTTTTTCAGCAACTGTTCAAAGCTGAAAATTACATTTATGGTCTGTTTATAATCACTTAAGTTTTCACAATGTCCATTAGTCATGATGGTGGTACTTAGTCAGCCCTGTTGGTGCAGCAGTTAGAATACAGTACTGCAGGCTACCTGCCCACAGCCTGGAGTTCGATCCTGACAGGGCTCAAGATTGTCTTCCTTCCATCCTTCCAAGGTTGGAAAAATAAGTATCCAGATTGTTGGGCAATTTGCTGACATTGTAAATCTTCCAGAGAGTGCTTTAAAGCACTATGGAGTGGTATATCAGTGTAAGTGCTATTACTATTATCTTCATTATAGTCAGTATGTGTTGTCCTGTGCCTGACCTATAGGTTTTTCTTCTTTTTTTAACCCCTTTCAGAGGAGAGAGATTGGAGAGAAAGGAATTACAAGTCAATTGTTTGCTGTTCTATACATTGAAAGCAGCATGATTATACCGGCAGCCAGGGTTTGGAAGCCATGAGTGCGTTATTTCAACAATTTTTCTCTTGAAATCTCTCTGCTCTGGGGGGAAGAGAGGAAACAAGTGATTTCTGTGGGCAATTTCTCTTTTGCCTAACCTTTTCCCTCTGTTGGTATGATCACATTGTTTTCAATATATAAAAGAACAGTTTAGTTTCTTAAAATGTCTTTTTCTCCAATCTCTCCACTTTATTAGGGAGAGGGGAAGAGAAAAAAGTAATTTCTGTCTGCAGTCTCCTCCTTCTGATACCCCTCCCTTTGCAGAGTATTGTGGAATATTAAGAAAACATATTTTCATAGTGGAACATCCATTTGGAAATGACTATAATAAACTGGATAGACTGAATCTCACTCACAAGTATAAGCAGAAAGATCTTTTCTTAGATATTGTCAACTGTTCTACAAGTAATCCCTAATTGTGGCTAGCAACTCCACCAGTAAGCAAAGCAGCTACTAAGTATAAATGGCCTCAATTTTGCTTTGGGTTGGAAAGAAGACTATTTATTCTCCACTGCTCTTTGGAATACTCAAGTGCCTGCTTGCAAGTAGATCTCAACTTACAACCAGTTGCTAACCAGTTGCTTAGCAACTGTTTAAAGTTCTGAATGCCTCAAAAGGTAATTATGACCCAGTTCCGAAGTTCTGACAGAGGCCCCCCACACTGGCACATGACTGCATTTCAGGCGCTCAGCATCCGGCTCACATTTACAGCCATTTGCAACATCCCACACTTACAAGACTGCAATTTACAATATTCTTGTTAAAAACTGCTATTTACTTCCAGGTTTTTTGACAAAAACACCCCAGAGCAAAACATTGGGTTCATTTAGTGACCATTCCAAAAACAAAAAGTCATTAAAAAATTTTATAATAAGTTTTTATTTTATTTTATAACTTACAAAAATTCCGATTTCAATCAGTGTGTTGTCTGGGTACAGATCATTTTAGGAAATAACATATTTACAACAGTATTCATTACATTAAGTATCAATTATAATAATAACCATAGTCTTTGTTTAACCAATTTAACATACTTATATCACCAATCCTTCCATATATTTCCCTGTTTCTAGCTCCTGTTTTTGTCAGCTAACCATTGATAAAATAAGTCCCAAGTCAAAAAACATTCAGTTTCTTTCTTTTCCTTAATTATAAGTGTTAGTTTATAATCTAAATAAAAAGTCATAAAATTTATGTCGGTCACATAATCTATTTTACAATCAACATGACTTATCACTGTAGTGGGCAGACTCTGTTATGATTGTAAATTGAATCATGTACCTGTACATGTAGGGACATGTAACAACCACATGATTGTAAGGAATATAAATCCTTCCATTACCCAGCATTCAGTTAGAACTGAGGATGCTTCTTGGATGAGAAGCGAAACGTCTTCAAGAAAAAGAAAGTCCAGTTGCATTTTGAAAAAGCATCTTTGAGACAATCATGACCTGAATGATTGAGAATCTCCATAGATATGTACCTCTACTGTTTTGATACACATTGAAAGCAGTGTAGTCCTGTTGGCAACACAGGGCTGGGAGTTGCAGGCACACTGCAAATATCTTACAGTATTCTCTGGAAAACTCTTCTCCAATCTCAGCTTGGGAGGTGGGAGAGAGAACAAAATGCAAGGATTTCAGTAAACAATCTTGCCTTTGCCTGATTATTTCTTTCCTTTGTGGAGCAGAAAGCAATTGCAAGAGAGAAATCTGTTTGCTTTTGTACACATCAAAAGCAATATGATTGCATAATATGAATACACTAACTATATATTCACCTAATGCATATTAATATCAAAGTAAAAGTTTGGTCGCTTCCTTTACATGATATTCCCTGTTCCAAAGAATGTTCTATATAGACAACATTGAGAGTAGTCAATCTTGGATGACAGTGAAGCTTGGTCTACTAGAGTGTGGAACTTGATCACAGTAAACTTCTGTAGTATTTGCAAAGAATTTTTTTAAAAAAAATTTGTGAAGAAAATGATTTTTGTGATTTGTCACTTCTTTCTATAGCCTAACCTATTTCCATTTTTTTTATAAATAGTAGCATCCCATCTTTGTTTTTTTATCTTTTTCTAGAATTCTCCACTTAACTATTGGTTTGCCCATGCTCTTTCTCTGCTGGGTATTGCTAAGGGAGGTTAATAGTTGCTACAACAACAAAAAGAACACCTCCTTATAATGGAAAAAATAATAATTCTTGTCTTTATCATCTATCAACATAACTAAAACCATGTATGATATTGGTGTAATGACTGTTGAAGTGGATCTTGTTAAACTGAATTAACAGTCTTTGCAATGGGATAACGTATATATACGATAATTGACTGACAAGGAAGAGGGGCACATAGGACAGCATATACTTTGTTTCATCCGTGCTGACCTACAATGCTTGCCTTCGCAGATGGAACATGAGGATTTTGTAATGGAAGGGCATGGCAAGACTCCACCTCCTGGTGAAGAAAACAAACAGTGAGTCATGTTTATTTAAGAAGGGCCTTAATAGAATATGATACAAAGCACTTGTGAGTAAACGTGGATGAACTCTTAACTTCCTTTTTAAGGAATTCATTATTTAGTTATGTTAATGTTAAACTGCTAGTATATCCAATTTTAAACATACTAGGAAGTAAGTATCATTGAACATGGTGGCTTATTTCTGAGTGAGATTTGGAGCAAACCATTAAAAGGTATTTCGATGGATATAGTATGGTGTACAGGTACTGCCAACAGCATTGAAAAGCTGCCACCTTTTTGCAAATAGAATTGCAGTAGTTTACAAACTAAGTTCTCTCTATTAATGTTCTATATTTATCTCAGGTGCATTTGTTATGAAATATGAGTCTTAGCATTTCAGTCCTCAACAAATCCAAGTAAGTACTATTATATGCACCAGGAGCTGTAATTAAACTATAGTGTTACTCTGCAGCAGTATACTATGGTCTAATGAAAGTGCATAAAGATCATAGTGAATTACTTTTGATAATGCAATTAAATTTAATTGTTATGGGATGTTTTTCTTTTGTCATATTCTGTAATCCAAATGATACTGATTTATTTAAGAGACTCCCAGTACTGCATCTTGAAACAACTGTGTTTTAAGGTAGTTCACAGCAATTCTTCAGTACTTTTATCATCAATATCTAGAAATCGTAAGACTTGACTGAATGATTTTCAGATCACTGTGAGCTGTGATGACATTCTCTCCTCAGTAGGCTTTTACTTACCTCTCACAATCCAAAATCCACTTTCTTTTATATTCCTTTTCCATCAATTATATTGGTCTCCTAGTTTCCCATAGGATATGGAGTGTTTTGTTAATGAAATATATACTTCTAGGCATCTTTACTACAAACTCTTTTTTTATCAACCCACACTTTTAGCACAGTGTTTCATGTGGACTAACTCACTGAATTAAAAACTGTCGTGTGTTAGTATGTTAAAAATATATTTGGATTACTGATAACATTACTGATGAAAGAATTCTGCTACATTGTGACAAGATTATTATATAGCATTAACACGAGTATGTAAAGTTATATGTACAACTTTAATAATTGCCTATATGTTTACTTCGATTGCTTTCTATTTGAAACAGAAAAATCATAAAAGTTCTTGCAGTATATCAAATATAAACTTAATTTGTTTGGCTTCTGTAACAAGAATGCAAAGCTTATAAAACCAAGATCTGAAGACCATTATTTGTACTTTAAGAACAAAATTATATTGAAAGAACTGATATATATATATATTATTAATTAATTCAAAATGCATACTTACATTGCAGCCCTCTTACCTCAGGGTAGCAGACTTAAATGAAGTCACGCCCATTTTTTTCTTTGCAACAATCTTGCTAGACAGATGTGGTTAAAAGAGAATAGTAGTCCTAAGGTAATGGTCTGAATGGGGAAGATGAACCTTATTATTTGATCAAAGACTCACATTGTAGACATTATACAAAAATATTTCTCTTTTTCAGCCTAAAAGGTCTTCTTTTGCAGCAATGATTCGTTTAAGCATTATAAGATCATCTCTCCTCCAATAATAATATAAATTATACTTTTTCTATACTTCCTACAAATTATTCTAATTACAAACAGAACAGGACAATTTCTGGGTTTTCTTTTTCAGTATAATAAGGCTTGTTTTAGAACTTCATTGCTTCAAAGCACATTCTGGAAACGTGTATCTTCCAAACAATAATATCTGAAATTCCATCTCTCTTTGTGTTTTACAAAACTTTGTGTAAATATATATGCTACTACTCATACAAGTAATCATTTTTTCCCCAAACATGCTAGTTAAGAAAAGTTGTTTGGATACTAGCACAACCTTTGAGTCATGTAATTCGTGGCATATGCAGAAGTTTTGACTGAAGACCATTCTGATTCTCAATATTTATTTTTAAAAAATACTATTTTCTCCTCTTCTCCTTCTTTCAAAATTGCCTTCAGATGAAGTGCAACTCCTGTTAACTGATATATCTATTCATTTTTTAAATGTAACTTACTAGGTTACTATTCCCCTTTCATTGTATACAGCTCAAGGCAGTGTACATAATGTTCCTGTCTATTTTCCTCATAATGACAAACCTATAAAGTGGAAGTGGTTTGCCATTAATTTCCTAAAATAATCTATCATTTAGACTTTCAGATAGTTCACCTCCATATGCTAACCAGATCTGTTTCTGTTTGGGTTTCTAGATCATCTAAAGTCAGTTGAATCCTACCACATGCTGATGCTGGCTTCTGTTAATTAAAAAGCAGTTGGAAGTTTTATTATGATTACATTATGCTTTCTTTGTTTTCTTTTCCTAAATCTACCAAATTCTGCCAATAGATTCCAATTACCTGCTTCAAGAACAGAGTTTGAGCCCCATAAAATAGGCCACCCCATGTGGATCAAGGAGTCAAAATATACCTGTTTGTCTTGTCTGTTTCTCCAGATGAAGGCTGTGTACTGAGTATTTTTTTTTATTGGAAGAAAAATGTGTACACTATCTAGAAACAGGAATGTACTTCTCCTCCATGGCTTGGGAGCAACAGGTATAGCCTTGAGAAAAATTTTTAAGTGATCACTGTAGAAATCAAATTTCGATTACACATAGGAATCATAACCTAGGGCTCCAGTTAAAGTTTTGTAAATCATTTAAGGAAATCAAGATTTTGACTTAGCTCGTTCTGCTAATTGACTTACATACCTCAGTTTGCCAAAGGTCAGACATAGTTCTCAGTCCAAGAAAAATGGCACACCCGTGGTTTACTTGAAACAATAATTATGGTCAAATTCAAACATCCTGGTGAAATTGGCTGCATTGAATTGGATGAAGTAATGCAACTTGTCCCCTCTAGATATAGATTGTAAGAGTTACAAATAAGACTAGAGGTCTTCTCAGCTCAAAACTGAAGCATCTGGCAACAATAATATCCCTAGGGATATTTTGTGACTCAGTATAATATAATAAAAAATGAAAAAGGGGAGAAAAACCCAATGCTAGTTTAAAAATAAGAGATTTTATGTTCACCAATTAAAAATTAAATATTCATTCCCTGTAGCTGCTAACCATTTACAATAGTAATATGTTTAGTATATAAATTCCTTGCTGTTTTTCATCAGCTTTTTTGATAGGATGGTGAACTGGATTTTTAGTTCAGTCATTTTGATAGAGAATGAATGAGGATTGAATAACAAACAAATATATAGAGTGGGAAAATGAGATAAGAAAGGGAAAATACAGTAAAGCTACAGTAGGATGGAGTTGATGAGCTCCTTAGAGAGAAGTTTAAAGAAGCAAAGACAGTGTATCAAACAGGATGTGGTCATATTAGAAGCCTGGTTAAATAAGTTTGAAGAACAATAGAGTATTGTTGTAAAAACTAGATTGTACATATTTTTCTCTTGTATTTCTTTTGTTTACTATTGTTTTTCTGTTCTTTGTATTATTTTTTCAATTGATGGGATTAGCCTAATGGTGTATGTATCTCATGAGGTTTTTTAATATTTTTACTGCGTATGTTAAAAGGATTATACTGGTATTTTTAAAGCAAGTTTGATATTACTTCCATATTCAATTGTAGTAGTTTAATCTGACTGCAAAACTGTTGTTTTGTCCTGATTAGCATTATTCAGACATCTATTTTTAGATCGAACAAGCATAAATTGAAATAAATGTTTTATCTGCATTTGTAAGCCTCATTCAAAGCTGCTGTCTTGTGGAAGCAAATGCTGGAAATACAATTTCTTTGGGTTTTGGCTAAGATGAATTATAGCATTTCATTACTGTGTTGCAATTCTAATAGTAAAATATATCTTTTCCTCCTAAAATGCAAGAGCACATGAGAGTAGTTCACAGCACTAAGTCTTCGACGATACATGGTGAAACAGTTTTAATTTTAAAGGTCTGCATACTTTACTGTTTACGCATAAGCAGCTAGCTTGGCCTAGACAGTTATATCTCAAGCCAAAATCCATGGAAACTGGTTCATAGCAAAGCATACTGTTTTCATATGCTGCCCACACCAACCAATAACCGTTTATTTGCTTGCTTTCAGCTGCATTAAAACTTCCTTTGTTTTCTTCCCTTTTTGGGGGGCAGGGGAGACCAAAGTGAGTCCATTCTTAAATTTATTTTTCTATAATGGTGTTTAGATTAGATTGCTCAAGCAGAATTGTGCTTACTTTGTTTTATGTAAGATAAAAACTTATTTTTGAAAGTTTCTCTTGGTTTCTGAAGTTTGCATTTTGTGGAACAAGCATTGTCTGAGAGAGAGGGAGGAGAGAGACATCTATGTAACTTGAGCATCAATATAAGCTACTATAATTGGTAATTGTAGGTGACAATATTCTTCCATTTGCATTCTTCACCTATTGAAGAAATAGATTATGGCGTGTATCACATGAATTTTTACATCTAAAATATGTTTTATAACCTGATCCTTAAGTTATATATTTTTATATTATTCTGACGCATATGCAAGTAAGTATCATGCTGCAGTAAATTATGTGTTAGAAGCAGATTAAAAATGCTCTTTAAAAAGCATAGAAAAAGGACTCTGGGTCTTTTGAGAATTCCTCTTGCTCTTTAGAAAAAATACAGAAACAAGTTTTCCTTCAAATGTGTGTTCATCATTATTGAGCACTTGCAATATTAGGTGTGATCTACATCACTATTTTTCACAACTTTACGATGTGTGGATTTCAGTTCTCAAAATTCTCTACCTGTGCACTCACTGGGAAATTGAGTTGTAATCCACACACTTTAAAGTTGATGACCTACACTATGCCTCCAGCTTCTACTCATTTACATTATCACTTTCCCAAACTGTAACTAAACCTTAACAACTAAAGGAAGGAGATACAGGTAGTTTCTCCATCGTGTAGAAATGGGAGGTGCTAGGCTGGGATATTCCTTGCTCTAGCTCTATGTCCTGAGCTGAAAACTTCTGAAGATCCGCCTCTCTGGTGACGTCTCT